TGCTGCACGCATCTACTTCCATTCAGAATCGTAGTGGCTTATTGAATGCGATGTGGCCTATACAATGACTTGCGGTGGCCAGCCGATGTACAAGTCAGTGTTTTATCCTCCCAGACGAATCTGGTACCAATTTACCGTTCCCAGGGGTAGAAGGCTTGGTTGGCCTGGACGGGAGCCAGCCGCACCATGCACGTTGCAAGCGTGCCGTTTGCCACTACACCACCTCCGAAACTTGGGTGGCACCCTATAGAAAATCTGGAAAAAAGAGGAAATAAATTAGAAAGCGAAAGTGTTAAAGCACGAAAAACATTGAAAGTAAGAGCTTTCAACGTGTTACTGTGCCGAATGTTAAGGGTAATTTGACATTCATAAGGTGCGTTACTACACATACACTCGGAAGCCAACATGCAGGATACGACGGCAAGGGGGCTTACTATTAAGTGATGGCAAAAACTAAACCAAACCTTGTTTTATTCACGGCAAAACATGCAACATTACTAGTCAAACTGACTATTAGCGAGCAGAAGATGGATTTCATCCATGTGAAGTTCTCGGTGACGACACCTGAAACATCTGAAAACACAATGACGACCACACAAGCAGATGCACGCGCTGTATTTTGTGCAAGGACATTTCTTGAAGCACAACATCTAAAGCGATTGTGATTCGGAGGGTGCAAGTTACTCACTACACAGTTGTTACTAGTTACTCATTACACACTATATTAAGCGAACATCGCGGATTCGTGCTCTTTGAGGAATAACTCAAACGTGTCAGACGGCGCTGTTCGGCTCAGAAGGGGCATTTTGCACATTCGCTAATTTCCTTTGCTTCTTCCTGTTGAATTATATGTCCTACCTTGGTGGGACCTGTAAACTCTTGTCAACTGTAAACAAAGCTCATGATATTGCATAGCTTTACAGAAATTCACAGGTCTTCACAGGGCGTAACACTAGTGATCAATGAAAACCAGCAAGAATGCCCCACCGAGCCGAACTGAACCAGGAGCACTACCGGCGGACACTTCGATGAATAACAGGTGCACAGCAGAAAACGATAAGCCGAACACTGTTAGTCATGAAAGTGAAAAGATTCACATCCCAAAAATTAGTAGGGAAAAAGAAAATAGAAAAGTAGGTGCGGGGAATAGTGTGAAGAATTAGAGGTCCTTAATTGGAGTACCATCATGCCTATCTCACTGATGCACCTCTCCTTACTGAGAAAGAGGAGGGCAAAGGAATGAACATATTGGTTTGGACTCCACCCATACAACAAGCGTGGAATGAGTCTTCAAACTGAGAACCCCTCGGATAACCAAAATTGGGACAAAATTGTTCCTTCGTTTTGGGGGGTTTAGGTAGTAGAAACTGAAATGCAAACAGACCAAAAGCTAGCAGAAAAATACTTTGAAAGACCCTAATACCGTCTAAAATACGAAATGAAACGAGTTCGAATAGTTCCAAGCTAAAACTCCTAAAGCTCTTGCAAAAAGACGGGTACGACAAAAAGCTGCGCCTAGTTTTTGTGATGAAAAAATGTGGCATGGAGGTGGCATTTTGAATTTTCGCTAGGTTCTCTAACTAGTTCGCGTCTGCGAAATGCTGTGAAATTGTGCCAGTGAGCCATTTTGGTCACAGGATTTTACATTTCTTCACAAGATCCGTCCAAACTTCCTTGAGTACCATTCGGTGCCCCCATCATGCCGAGCTGCGCCAGAAATGATATACCCGAGCAAGTGAAACTGAAAAGTCGAAAGCGATTACACATTCTAATAGAAAATATTTTTGGGGTCGCCGTAATAAACTGAGAAGGTACATAGAAAAGATAAGGAACAGGAAAACAAAAGCGGGAATCCCTGCAACCGAAAGTCCAAAGTACACATAAGAAACAAGAAGCCCCGTACACAGACTTCTGTAAAATGCGAGCTTGCTGAAAGGTTCAAAATTTGATAATCCAAATCAAAACGTACCGCCAGCGGTGTTTCTCTCAAATGAGAAAATTGTTGATGCTTTAAAATGAATTCCATATGGCCAAATGTTTGCACTAATGGTATGATTTCCAAATTGTTAATGGCAGCTATCTGAAATTGTCCAAGTTCACCGCAGAACCATTTAATAGTTTCTGAGAATGTCAAATATCCCAATATTGATATAATATCAAATACACAATATATTATAGAAATATAATATCTGATATCTATTATTCAAGATACATTTTGCGACAATCGGATGGCCGGAGAATCGCAACAATTGTGCCATCCTTGGACATGCGCCTCTCTTTCCAATGACAGAAACAGGAGGGACGATGCATTGAAAAAAGCGGCAATGGTTGCGAGACTCCGCCTCTTACAACATCGCGGAATGGTCCTTGACTTGCAGAATAACAGATACACGCATACCTATTCTGAACAGGTTACCGCATCGTGATCAGGGCACGTCACCGCCAAGGAATCTCCGGCAAGGGTTATATCTGGTCGCTGGAAGGAAGGGGGTTG